TGAAATTATGCGATTCTGTTAATTCTAACAAAGATTGATAGGTCTAGAGGAAAATAATTAGAAATTATGCAAACAAATTATCAAATTTTGCTAATCTATGCGGGGTGCAGAAAACCACGGGAAGAGAAAATCCTTAACATCACAAGACGAGACAGGCAAAGAAATGAAGAAGTAAGAGCAGCTATCGGCATTGAGTCCTGCCTGCACTACACAGAAAGACATAATAAAAATATGATTTGGCCACCTGTTACGTATGTCACCTGGCCAGCCAGCCTGGAGAGGCGACAACACCAAACACTCAGGCTATAAAGGAAGAGGAAGGCCACTCAAAAGGTTGATCGAGGGTGTCAAGGAAACGCTAACAAACATAATATCTCAACTGAAAGAGCTTCGGAGCTGGCCTGTCATAGAAAACTGCATCTCCCCTCGACGCTTTACGGCTACAGAGGATGAAAACGTAAAAGTAAAAGTAACGTAAATTTACACGTAGACACACTGTATTCAATTAGTTGCCAGCATCCTGCAGACAGCCGACACCGAAGAAAATCCTACAAGTGAATGCGTGTACATTGCTTGATGATAATGTTATTCTGTAGTTTTCCACGCTGACTGTAGGCCTAATTATTGACAGTCTCGGAAGACTGTTTTTCTGTACCATACTTTCGTGCTTCACCTTTCGATACCGGTACACATAAAAGAAGAATATTATTGCACGAGCATAGCCATTTACCCAGTCCTTTTGTTTTTAGTAAGAGTTTTACGGCACTCGCAACACAATATGGTCATCAATATGGTCATGTAAGTGTCGAAGATTAGAGGTGTTACAAGAGAGTAACAAACATTTGATTAACAAAGATAAGAGGTGTTGCAAGAGAGTAACAAACATTTGATTAACAGAGATTAGAGGTGTTACAAGAGAGTAACAAATATCTGTTTGGTTATAGAGAAAACTCTCCTTGTCTTTTTAAAAAAACTGAACAAGGGGCAAAAATTTTACCTTCAATTTTCTCAAAACAGCCTATTTCGGGATAGCTCTCTTGTGTTTTAAAGCGACCATATTTGTGTGTGTGTGTGTGTGTGTGTGTGTGTGTGTCTGTGTATGTGTGTGAGTGTGTATGTGTGAGTGTGTGTGTTTGATATGCAATCGAGTAAATTAATGACTTCATCTCTTCTGGATGGAGAGGCCTGAAGGTTTTCATTCATGGACCTAGTTCGGACATGATGTTGTAAAGTTCATTGTTTATTTGAGTCCCACTATGTGTCTCCCACAGACTGGAGGTCAGAAGGTGCTATTCGTCTTAGTTTATTTCTAACCCTATCCGTACGTCGTGTTTTACTATCGTATCCATACATCGTGGGGAACTCTGTGCCACAATTTTCAAAGAGGAAATGTACTCATTAATTTAATCCGTACGCTTGGCATAGCAGTCCGTCAAAATGATTTTTTGAGAAATACTGAAAGTTTCAAAGAGATCCTCGCATTAGAAGTACTGTAAAAAGTGAAAAATACAACCACGGGGATACAAAATGACCCCAGGGAGTACGGATAGCGTTAATAAGAGTTTTAGAGCACTTGCAACACAATAAATAAGGTCATATTATAAGTGCCGAAGATTAGACGTGTTACAAAAGATTAACAAACACAAAAAAGAAGGAGGAGAGATGAGGACGATAGATGTTTGATAGGAAAGAAAGAGCACAACAGGCCAGAGCACTCACCAACCACCCACAAGATGCTACATGTAATCACTAAAGGACACAAAAAGTAAATACAAGCTGATGTGACATATAAAATGTTGTAACAAACTTTATTCATCTCAGAATACAGTACATGTGAAATGTACTTGCCAAGAGTCATACAATCAGTGTCGACAAAGATTATTTCCATTACATTCAGTCACTTTTAAGCTCAAGAGAGCTATCCAGAAAAATGCTGTTTTGAGAAAATTGAAGGTAAAGTTTTTAGACTCTTGTTCCGTTTCTTTAAGATACAAAGAGAGTTTTCTCTATAACCAAACAAATATACACAACAATGAAACCAACTTTCTCCTATAGGTAGTGCAATGCCTACTTTTGGTGTAGGTCGAGATTTCTGGAAACTACCGAAATCTGCGTTAGCCCACTTGTCCTTAGAAGCGACCAATTGAGAGGTTCAAAACAAAATTGCCTTCACAATAACATGTACCCGGTACAATCTTTGCTCATGAATGAGTCATGAATCTTGACCATCATCATTTGACACACACACACACATACATACATACACACACGCACACACACACGCACAGATACACAAAAAAAATATACACAAACATGCACACACACACACACACACACACACACACACACAAATACACAAATACAAACATACACACACATAAACACACATACACACACACACACACACATACACACACACAGTGACTTTAGACTTAAGTAATGTCAAGCTCCACAAAGGGACCCAAGTTCAAGAACACCCAGTCTGGGATTCGAACCAGGGCCACCCGTTAGACAGGCCATAGGTGAGCATGGCATCAGTAGTGAAACATTGTATTATTCTATCCCCGAAGTTGTGCGCACCCCGCATAATTCAGCAAAATTTGATCATTTTTTGCAGAATTTCTGATTATTTTCCTTTATCATTCTTTGTTAAAATTAACAGAATCGCATAATTTCACGTTTTTGTGCTCAGTCTGCATAATTTCAGAATTTTTTTTCGCACAAAACCACGGGGACAGATTGGACTCGTCCACTGCCATCTCCGGCAAGAAGTCGATGGGTGTGGACAAGCACTTCAAGCAACCGATGTGAGGGGTCAAGGGATGGCCATCAGTCGGGGATGACCAAAAGTCTACAGTTAATAATAATAATAAACAGCATGTATAGCGCATGTCCCCACTTGAAAGCAAGCTGTATGCGTTTTACACTATATTGTTACCCCAGCAGACCATAGAACATTCAGAAACATTCTCAGTTTCCTGGGCAGCATACAGTGCAGGCAGCTGGTTAAGCGCTCAAACACTAACAAGCGGACAAGATCTTTCACAGTCTATGGCTGGGTACCCATTCCCACCGGGGTGAAGTGGGGAAAATTTGTGGCTTGAACCCCCGAACCCGCAACCCCATGATTACAAGTCCGGTAGCCTAATAAATTCTCAAAAGTATACACTACACTACCAGGTTTGTTTTTTTTTAGTTGGAGTACAGTCAGTCCTCGTAGTAACTTGTATCGCTAGCCCAATTCTACTGCCAACTTCATGCTCGTCCCAAGGTAGGTCGCATAACGAGGTATGACTGCGTATTGCCTGTCTGCCCGTCAACATCGGCAAGACGAAAGTAACATACGTACACACAGGTACGAAGACCAATCACCAACGTCACACACTATCAAGTTACACTTTTACCAACTTTCTTACAAGAACGCACTGGCTTGCATTTGGACCTCTGCATCTTTCTAAACGTCATATTGATGCGCACACCGAGGGCGCCGGCTCTTTTCGGCAAGGAGTGGTACCAGAAACTGTTGGTCGGATCTTTCATCAACAGAAGCATTCCGTGCTTGAGCTGCACCGTCACTGTCTCGATCGGACGCTTGCCGCTCTTCCTGTCCTGGTGCTTGAACACGAAATCTCTCGACTGGCCCAGGGTCAACGAGGCGATTGGGTGCCCAGGACACAGGTCTTTTTCATCATCTTTGTGCTCCCCCATGTAGTCTGCGCCATCTTTGTATCTGAGGAGAAGAAATAAAGGTAGATTTCATTTATCCCTGAAGAAGGTAATGTGGGGGTAGTTGTGAGGGGGATTTAGCTGATTTTGTCTTTCCTTTGGGCAATTGTGCCTTACATAAATTCACTCTTTAAACTGTCCCCGTGGTTCCGCATAATTTAGCAAAATTAGATCATTTTTTTGCATAATTTCTGATTATTTTCCTTTATCATTCTTTGTTAGAATTAACAGAATCGTATAATTTCATATTTTTGGGCTCAGTTTGCATAATTTCAGAATTTTTCTTGCATAAAACGACGGGAACAGTTTAAACCCCATCGGACACTGGGAGCGTCCAGTACTAGTGACAACTGTTTTGTTTTATTTAGTGCTAGTTTTTGCTTGTTTTTCGGAACTATTCCCGAGCCAAGTTTAAAAAAAAAAAATGATTAAGCCTTTGTTTCCGCTATTTAGAAGTTGGAGGCAAACTTTTGGGGTTATAATGAGACATAGTGCACCAGGTTTAGGTGACAGTGGAAAAAACTCCAGGCAGGAAACGGGGGGGGGGGGGGGGGGGAACATTTACCAGCTTCAGTTGTGGCATAGTAAGGTTTTGTCCTGTGCATACAGAAGACATGAGTTTCGACTTTGAAGTGGGAAATTAATTCACCTGAATATCTATATCGTCCAGCTGGGGATGAGTCTCTGTCAGTGCATGCCAAAGATATGAGTTCAACTCTTACACGGGGAATTAGTCGAATTGAATATCTCCAACTTATAGCTAAGATGTTGTATCTCACTCACTCAAGATTGTCCCTGTGTAGCAGGCTTTACAAAAGATAGTACATTGGCATGACTGTCCTACACTTCAGCATCAGCTCACTTAAAAAGTAACGGTCATGAGAAACCTCCATCACTAATGTTGCTTATAAATAATATGTTCTCACTTTCTGACCTAACAGTGTGAACACATCCTGAAAACAGGACTAATGTGTGCGTGTGTGTGTGTGTGTGTGTGTGTGTGTGTGTGTGTGTGTGTGAGTGTGTGTGTTTGTGTATGTGTGTGTGTATGTGTGTGTGTGAGTGTGTGTTTGTGTGTGTGTGTGTGTGTGTGTGTATGTGTGTGTGTGTGAGTGTATGGCAAATTCTTTTCAACACATTATTAAAGCTAAAAAAAAAACAGCTACCAGAATCAGACATCATGAAAATAGCCATATATACATAAACACTGAATCACCTGTTGATGAGCACAAAGTTGTAGGAGTATCCGGTGACCCGAGCAACGTGTTCTCGAATCTCATTGAGCAGAGGGGTCCAGGGTCGAGCCGGGATGGTGTTCCCGGAGAAGGTGTACGTCAGGCCTTCATCCCCATGGGCCACCTAAAGAAAGGAGAAAATAAATGGTCGTTTTTAAGGACAAGCGGGCAAACCCAGATTTCGGGGGTTCACAGAAATCTTTACCAACACCAAAAGTGAGCATTGCCCTACCTATAGGAGAAGTTTGGTTTCATTTGTGTGTTTTTGTTTGGGTACAGAGAAAACTCTCGCTTAGGTTGTATTTTAAAAGGAACTGAACAAGGGGCAAAAACTTTACCTTCAATTTTCTCAAAACAGCATTTTTCGGGATAGCCCCCCTCTGCTTAAAAGCGACCATATTGTGAGATGTGCTGAAAAAATGAGTTACTTCTCACAATTGAAGAATGGAAATATCGGCTGCAAATCGACACTGGGGTCAGATTGATAGTTTTTCAATTGACGCCATTTTATTCAAGTTTACTGTGTCTTTTACTATTCCATGCTCACAAATTGTACAAACTTCTCCTATCAAGTCGATGTATCAATTTCCATAGGCTGAAATCCGAGAAGTAACTCATTTTGTCAAAACACCTCACATACCAAAGACAACTGAATTCATTTCAATTCAATACATGAGGTTATATATAAGATTATCTCTCTTGCCCTTTTTAACTCCCAGTGGAGCACAGCATTACTCCAGCGAAGCCTGTCCTGAGCATCCTTTTCTATCTGTTTCCATGATGTCCCCGGTTTTTCAATTTCAGCTTGTACCGCTCGTCTCCATGTCATCTTTGGTCTTCCCTTCTTTCGTTTTCCTTGTGGGTTCCACGTTAAAACCTGCCTGATGATGCTTGACGGGGGTCTCCTCAGGGTGTGTCCAATCCAAATAAGATTATATAGGGATATCAATCCGTTGTGCACAGGAAGTGGGAAACAAAACAAGTAAGGGACCTACAAGAGATGCTCTCCAACCACCCACTTCCTTCAATCTGCAGTTTCAAAACTTGTATGAGACACAAGAATTGGCGCTCATATATGACCTTATGCAGTTGCGAGTGCCATATAAAACCTCTACTAAAACAACCACTTACAATAAAATCCTTTGTCTCAGGAACTCTATTGATCTGAGCATGGAAAAAATTTAACTTTGGTCTGTCTATCAGAATGGAGCGGCTAGAGGGTCACTCAGCTATATTAATACATATATAAAAACTCTCGGCATTTCAAACAAAGCTGCTGCTGTGTTTGATCTTTACTTTTTTTTAAATTCCGCTTGTACCCTGGGGTGTCGCGGGGGCTGTGTTTGATACTTAATAATTAATTAGAAAGGTTCCATTGAAATGTTGAATCAGCGCGTTTGTAAACTGGTTTAGTAAGTAAAATATCAGTCAAACTGTAACCAGCGTGTATGTAAACTGGTTTAGTAAGTAAAATATATCAGTCAAACTGTAATTCCAGACAGAAACCAGAGCAACAATATCAGATTTGAGAATCAGGAGCCGACCTGGCCTATTCACATTGAAACTTCTAAGGAACATTTTTTCATGTGTGATTTTTATTCGATCTGTGTATTAAAGTTGTATTAAAGCTTGTCAAAAATTTTATTCACAAAGTATTATATATATATATATATATTATAATATATATATATATATATATTATATATATATATATATATATATATATATATATATATATATATATAATCTTTGCCATTTTATAAAAATGCAATCAGCTGAGCTTCAAAATCGTAAAAACACAAAGTAATACAAAGTAATAAATATGATCTGCTGCCACTAGAGCCACTTATGATCACTTTTAACTCATCGGTCCTAACAAAAAAGCCTTCACCTTTGTCAGGGTTCTCAAAATTGCTTTATGCTTGCAAATACTGAATAAAAAAAAAAAAAGAAACTGATCTCACCTGTTTCCTCGGAATGTTGATCCATTTCCCAAACATTTGTATCTTCGCTAAATCTCCCTCGTTGTAGGAGAGTTCTTTTTCACATCTCGCCAAGATAGCATAAGCTTCTCTCCTAGAATACAGAATTGTGTGGTCGACATCTAGATTTTCCTTTCTAATTTGTGTCCAGTCCACTTTGACCCCGGTACTAATTGTGTGTGCTGGCATAGGTTTCTTTTCCTCAACTTGTCCTGTCTCGTCGTGATCGTATGAACGCACGGTAATATCTTCCGATTCTTCCTCATCCTTTGTTTCGCTGTCCAGGGAATTAATGGGGTGGTGCATTACTGTTTCAGACACTTTGACTGTGGTAAACTTTGGTTTTTTGACCAAATCTACACAAACTTCAACATTGCTCAACTTATCAAGGCTGGTGTTGGCACATTTATCATTTGTGATCTTGTGATCATCAGTCTCTGAACAAGCTTGGCGCTTTGACATCGTTTATCTTGTCATAAAAAGTTACAGAGTAGTCTTGAGTTGTGTAACTTTTAACAAACCATACAATAGGTAATGTGTAGATCCGATCTAGATAATCTAGTAGACTCTAGTAGAGAGGAAAGTCTCGGCTTACTTTATATATATAGAGATATCTCTCTAATTTCTCCTGCAAACAACAAAAGTAGTTCTTACAATCCAACCGGTTGCCTTTCATAGATCCAGAGTTGACCGTCGCACTTATCTTTTATTTTGCAGTCGAAGTGCTGAGTCTGCTCAATAAGAGATTTATCTGTATAGTCCCTAGATAGAATCTAACCCTTTTCAACTTTCCAAGACTTGCCATTTCATAACAGAACAGTACAGTGGTGACATGTCAGATCCTAGTAACATTTGGGAGTCAAAGAGTAGCCTAGAAGAAATGAACTTTCTCTCCTATTCTGTATCCTTCTTCTGCACTCTTATATCTTGGGAATAGCTAAAGATTCTACTTCTTTATTTGTATCTACAGAGGTAAATAAAAGCATCTTGGCTTTTTTGAACCACTAATCTCAATCAACCACTATTTTGCCAACAATAAAATAAAATAGCATAAGACAAATTGGTATTAAACATCGGGGATTTCCGAAATACTTGAATCCATTAATTTTAATACTCCTGGATCGAGTCATAGAGTGGTAACGATTCGTCACTATCTGTGGTAAGGCCTTCGGTGCCTTCAGAGATTTTAAATCTTAAAGAGCAAAGTAAGCCATCTTTCTTTTCTCTTCCATGGATCACAGGACGTTATATTAGGAGCTTTTAAGTGAAGATTGATGAGATGGGAATAGAAATGTGCCATTAGTATTTTGGGCGATATTAGAGTATCGATGTTAAATTTGCAAAAGGAGAAAAGTACTCTTGCCGCGTTGGCTTGGTCAATTTTTCTTCATTTCATTCGAGGACTTTATGTGGTTTCAAACCATCTTAACGAGATCGTAGTTAGCCTTGTCGCAGTGGAGACATTATATTACTCAGGTTTACAGATGAAAATATAGAAGCATCATCAATGTGTCTAGGCCTATCTGGAAAGGAATCCTTTACCCCTTATAATTTCTTCTCTACTCAATAACATACCTCCCACTTTTGTATGCATATAACACGTTTGTTCACTCCAAAACAAAACACTTGAGTAAGTTATTGGAAACTAGAGGCAAATAATTTTTATCCCTCTTCAGCACTGCAGAGCAGCAAGCATGGCCATTGACCAGCTGCGGCGTGTTATCTTCATTGTGCACAACATTGACCATCGTCGTCCTTTCTTACCTGGCTAGGTAAACAGTGCCATGCTTGGCAAAATGACTGCCAACTCTACTTAACTAATGTAGAATCTATCTCAATTCAATAAGTGACGAATTTTGACGACGGACCTGGTGTGTACTGGAGTGACTTCCAGCTGCAGAAGGCTGAGGTGTTAAACTGTTAGGTTTGTATTTTGACTTTAGGCCTACCTTCTAGGACTAGATATCTAGAGTGTCTAGCCATCTAGATTTCTAGGTCTATTGTTCGAGAGCAATTTCTCAGTAAGGAAGTGGCTATCCTCACCTGGGGTGAGAATAAAATACGATCTACCTACCTCTCACCCCGGATGAGACTTGCCAGCGTAGGCTATTCTCACCCGGTGTGAAACGAGACCTGTTTTTCCTCATTTCGGAATGGAAGTGGCTATTCTCACCCGGGGTGAGAATAGAAATACAATCTACCTCTCACCCCGGGTGAGACTTGCCAGCGCAGGCTATTCTCACCCGGTGTGAAACAAGACCTGTTTTTCCTCATTTTGAAATTCTGTCTATCGGTGTGGATGATCAAATTGATAAAAGCCAAGAAAAAATTACGTTATAGCACAAAAGTAAGCTAATTTGATCGTCTTCAAAGATGCTATAGGCTTCTATGGCTATTTCACTTTTCGAATCGAGCCGAACTACGCGGGTCGCCATTTTGTTTTGCCCGGAAGTTCACGCAAGATCTACTCCTCCCCTCTCTCTCTCTCTCTCTGTCTCTTTCTGAATACTGTCTATCGGTGTGGAGGATCAAATTGACCAAAACAAAGTAAAAAAATGATGTTAAAAAACAAAACTAAATTAATTTGGTCGTCTATAAAGATTAAGATGCTACGGCTATTTAACTATCCGAATCGAGCCGAACTAAGCGGGTCGCCATTTTGTTTTGCCCGGAAGTTCTCGCACTAATCCTCTCTCTCTCTCTTTCTCTCTCTCCACTGCCCACAGACAAAATTGCACACTTTTAGGCTAACTCTAACAGTAGTAAATTAATAGATCTCTAGAACGTTTGTTCACAGCACAGAATTCTACAATTCAGTTATATTAAATCACAATGTAGAATTCTGTGGTTCAGGGTGAACGCCTCACTGGTTGGCCTAGGCTATAACGGTGAACGCCCACCGGATGAGAATAGCCAAAAGACTCGCCTGCGCTATTCTCACCTGGGGTGAGAATAGAGGTGGCCTTTCATTAAATTTCAAGGAAGTGGCTATATTATTATTCTCACCAGGGGTAAGAATAGACATGCGACTAAATGTAGAAGACTCATGCATGCATCTTCCTGATTGGCTGCTAATTTTAGTAATGTGATGTCATCAGTTCCTGGGATACCCACAGAATATTTTTATAAGGCCGTGGAGTTACCAAGGATTCTCTACTACACTACACACTACATGATCTTTGGAGATACTGCATGGAACCACATGTTGAGTCTGTGGCTTGACCTATTTTATCCGTATCGATGTGTTTTGCATGGTAAAATTTCACACTTTCGGCTAACTGCAACGCGTCAGCCTTGCTCTGGTGATAGAAGATCGCTTAGAACAGTAAGAACGCTCAATGCTTGAAATTGAAACCGGTAAGTAAACGCAAAGACAATAAAGCGCGCTAAAATTGCCGTATACACCCAGAGATCCCACTCCCGGGCCCGATAAACAATGCGCAGAAGGGATCAGCTGTAGCATCATCGGAGCACTGCATCATATCACATTACCAGTACAGTACTCAGTACTTGTTAAAAACAACCCCCTTGGTACTTATACTGTGGAACTCGGATTCAACGAAGTCGCCGGGCCAGACCTAAAATCTCGTTGAGTCCGAGTGTTTGTTAAGCAAACATTTTGTTTTGTGTAGATTATTACAGGCCCTATGCAAGTAATGTGTAAAGAGAAGTAACAAGTAGGCTACCGAAGTGAAACTCAACTATAGAGTAAAGTTCTAGGGCCTGACCTCCTAGTTCGTTGAATGGGGGGTGTTCATGAATTTTATTTTTTTTAAAAGACATCTGGACCTCTGATGTTGACACATCACTAAAACCAGGGACACCTGTCAAACATAAAACATCAGCAGACATGAAAACAACTTTTGATGGATTGAAATATTGAAAATGCTCAAGGAACAAAGTCCCTAACCCATAACTATTAACCGAGATCTTCTAACAAGAGAAATAAGCAACTTGTCACTTAAATGAGACTTATTACGGTGATTACCTCCCTTTAGTCACATGTCGAGGCGATAAATGATTTTTTTTAATGTGAAAAAACGCAGGGAATCCCAAATTTTGCCGAATTGCGCAAAAAAAAAACGTGGCGGCGCCACGGCCGCACAGTCGTGTAATCTGACGGGGACAGCATTTTCATTATGTGCAAGTATAAGGGACTGGTCAGAACCTGTCATACCCCAGAATGCTTGCTTAAATATTATATGGGAGGCTGCTTCCCTTGACAGCATATATTTTAATTTTTAAAAACGAGGAATTGTTCTCCCTTCATTGAATCCGAGTTTCACTGTGTATCGAAATATTTTTAAGAGAATATGATTGCAAGGATAATTCTTATCTTGTCGTTTGTCATTTTGGTTTTTGTTCTTCTTTTTTTCACAGATATGACAGTGCCACACTGAGAACTTGACAGTGGAATATTATATCGCTCACTATCAGCAGTCATGGAATGTTCGAGCCGCGCTCTTCTCATCCTCTTTGTTGTCTTCCTTATTGTGCAAACCCTGAATTGTACCACGGAGTACAGGTTCAAGAGGTACACTTATCGCAAGAAACGAGACGACAAACGCTACAAGTCGTCCCGGCAGCGTTGTGAGATGGAAGCGACGTGCCACGGCCGGTGGGGAGTGGAGTATACGATGTGTATCCGCAAGTGTATGTCGGAATTCTGCTACAACGAACTGTATTCGCATGACCAGCTGGAGGAAGGAGAGATAGATGTTCGACTGATTTCTTTCAAGGGTTGCTTGAGTCAAGTAAGGATGGAGGACTTCTAGCTTTATAGTATCCATCTTTGTGTTTTTGCATTACAGATACAGATGTGAACACGTAGGCCTACATGAGAAAAGTGAAATGAGTAGATTAAAAAATTTAATGAAAGACCACATGATGTAGACTACCAAGAAGAGATTCTTCTGCTGTTTTCAGCTGTCTAAATGTCTTGACATGGTGCTTCTGTGGGTTTTTTTACAAAGAGCGCAGCCAAACGTTTTCATTCCTCGGCTGTCGTGAATAAAATCATTTGAAGTTTAGAATTATTAGTCTATTGTTGAAACTGAACAAGGCGTGGGATTTCTGGCTTTGCTGCTCAGTTCCCAACCGAAAAGGCATGATTTGAAGTGAACCTTACCTTTCCCTTGTCCTGTGTTCGTCAGCGGAGAAATTACCGCATGCTGATGGAAATTATGTGTCATGTGTGAGAATATGATGAGTGTTTGTTTGTTGTAGGCCAATGTGTGCATCATGTAATGTGTGTGTGTGTGTGTATGTGTGTGTGAGGATATGATGAGTGTTTGTTTGTTGTGTGAGAATATGTGTTTCATCCCTGTATGTGTTGGTGTGTGTGTGTGTGTGTATAATGTGTGTGTGGGTGAGAATATGATGAAAGTTTGTTTGTTGTAGGGCCAGTGTGTGCGTCATGTAATGTGTGTATGCGTGTGTGTGTGTGTGTGTGTGTGTGAGAATATGATGAGTGTTTGTTGGAGAGAGAGAGAGAGAGAGAGAGAGAGAGAGAGAGAGAGAGAGAGCACACCTGGGAATATTATATTTAAGTATAGTT